CCCCCCCCCCCCCCCCCCCCCTCTCGGATTTGACTGTTCTTTATTCGATTGACATCCATGTCTCCGCTCTACCCAAATTGTTACTGCACTTCACACCAGATACGTTGTTTGTCCAATGTTTATGATGATTCACCCTCCTTGCAAGGGTGGATGGACGAATGAATATTTGATTGGTCAACTTGAACATGGATATGGATCAGTTAATCTAACCTTCACGTCCTTCACAGACGAACTCTACTGTTCTCCTGTGGCGTCTCTCTTCTACGTCTCTACTGCTCTACACGCCCAGATCTACTCGGTCGCTGTACATGTCGGCCACTTCGAGTCACGACTTGTGGCTTTGCTGCCGGTTTTCCCTTCGCAGCCGCCCTTGCAACCCCCGCAGCCTTCTTTAACAACTTGTCCAAATTGTCTTCTTTCTTCTTATCTGCACAAGCCGCGCCTCAATCACGGGAAATGAAATGCGAATTTCCTTTGTCTCACCTTTGTTTGTCCCTTCTCCCTTCCTCATATAGTGAAAGAGGTCGAATTCCTGACCAAAGTGATCATCTGTACACATACACGAAACAGGCGATGGTATGTGAATGCTGCCGTTCCACGCATTCAGCATTCATACCATTGTCTCGCCCGCCTGCGTCTGCGTCGCCCGCGTTTGCGTCGCCACGTGCGTCGATTTCCACACTCAACTCTTTAATTGCCCTCCACACAGCCCGCCTGGTAACGAGCCAGCTCCATTCCTTGCCCGCGGGCTCGTCGAGGTCATGGGGGAAGTCATGTCGCTCCATTCAACAAAGATTTTCTTGAACACATATACTTGTGGACGGGCATGTCTCATGGCTCGGATGGTGCGCCGCCCAGTCCCACTGGGTGGCATCGCAATCAATGACCAGTGCTCATTAGTGGACGGCGCAACGACCGCCAATGGTAGGAACTCCTTGACATGATCACCGAGATGTTGTAGCAGCCTTTTTCCGAGGTCGGTACAGCGAGGTACTTGGTCGCTTTTTGCTAGACCCCTACCTGGGAAGGTGGACCAAAATGCCACAAGTCCCCGAATAAACGCTGTCTCCAGCTTGCGAGGTCCCCAACTGCTCTTGTGGACAAACCAGCCGCGGGTCTGTTCGGGATATTCATCGCGAAGCTCATCTAGGGCATCTGACATACTGGCCCGCACGTCTTCGAGCGAAACATTCTCTTTTCCCTTCAAGGGCATGCGCACCGCGATCCTGAACTCCGATGACACACCACGGGCTGTGCGGAGTTCAAGTCGATACAGCTGTGCTGGCGCGGCCAGCCTGTTTTTCACCGTCCATTCCCGCCGGCGCGCGGCTCCTGCACCCTCGATGTGATAATGGGACAGACGGACCCACCTACCACTGGCTCCGGACTGGCACATCCATAGGTAAACTACATTCACAGCATCCACACCGTAACAGAATGGGCCGCTGTTCTGCCTGAACTCAGAATTCCGCAGCGTTGTCACCTGTCGGCTCGGCTGGGTCATCCATTGCCCCGGAAAGCAACGCGAACTCTATCTCCCACGCCTCTTGTGCCACTCGCAGCAGCTGTACATATTTCGCTTCGTTTTTAAAGCGCTTCCCGAGGTGATAAATCACACTTGAGAACACATACAATACATACCCTACAGAAACTTTTATGTGCCTTCGTCTACAGGGGACTGTCATTGACCAGGAAGTTCCTTTTTTCACGGGCAAAAACAGGGACGGCGCGGATGTCTCTCTGTATTGATCGGCAAGATGTGAGACATGCTTCTAATTTATTGAGCCTTGCGCCTGTGCGCATTTGTTTTCAATTGCGCTCTCCTTATGTGTGCAGCTGAGGTTGGATACGTTTCAGAGCACTATCGTGAAGGGAAAACGTTTCTGTAAGTCGATTAAGACTCACCTGGGCGTTGTATGTGTATGTTGAATGGAATCCATTGGCATGAATTGATAGGTGGTCGACATTTGTTTCTACAAGGACTAGCAAGGCTTTTGCAGAGAGGTGGGGGGGCACGCTAATTGGAGGCGAAGCTCAAGTAAGCCAAACAAGATGAAATATCTTCACTCTCAAACATGGATGAATTCGTGCATGTCCTTCATAGCTCATCTTCAAATTGCGTGAGACGCCAGCACGAGATGTAAAGGGTCATTATAGAAGGAAAGAATTGTACGTGTGTCTCTTTGCAAGGCCTGCACGACAATCCGTCGCACTACGCGTAAGATTTCGAACAAGCCAAGACCAGCATACAGATGATCCTTGTGTAACATCGTTAGGACTGGCTTTAGACCACGCATCATGACAGGATGGACTGCACTTTCTCGCGAAGGTGTCACATCACAAGCATTGCTTTTCATCACTAGTGTGTCATCTGTTTTCATGTGTATGACAGAAGAGGTCATCTCTATGAAGGCCCAACATAAGCATACGCGCATATGTTGTGTGCGATACCTGAGCATATGTCTATTTTCATCAGGTGATCCTTCCACCATTCTGCTGTCGATTCCGAGTGGTGAGCACTTCTAACAGTACAGCCAGCGATCCACTGTGGCCAAACCTAGGTGAGCCCAGCTTATGCGATTCTTGCCACTCGACGAGAAAAACATATATTCATTTATTTTCATCGAGGTTCGTGGACGCGCTTCGATATCGAATTGGAGACGGTTGCCTATCACGAGCAAGGAGACAGCACTAGATTAGTCACCACTCGCCCATCGCACTCTGTTGTTTTTGTGTGTGTTGGTTTTTATGGGTAAAACTTACCTCTCTCTCTCTGTGTTGCGTGTGTTCTGTGTGTGTGTGTGTGTGTGTGTGCGTGTGTGTGTGTATGTGTGAAGAGACAAACAAGGCGATAAAGAGATGCAGCCTGACAACAACCCTATGGCGATCGACATACATGGCACATACAAGGACACACACACACATCACACCGAATGGAACACACCTGCAGTGCACAGCAGGACAACACACTCGCTGTTGTCTCCTTTGCACGTCTTGCAGGTCCTATGGATGCCATGATGGGGGTCGATGCCAAGGACCAGAAATCAGCCGAAAAGAAGGCCAAGAAAGAAGAAGAAAATGAGAAAGGAAAGTTACAAAAACGCAAGGTATTGTTGCATGGGCCCAGGCGCCTGACATGATGCAAGGACTGGTGCGTGTTTGGCTTTGGTGTATCTTTTAGAAGAGTGACGAGGATACCGACGCTCCAGCTGCATCAAAAAAGCGTGGTGGATCATCGGTGCTTTCCGCGCGACACTGGAATGTAAGGCATAAGGGAAGGCCATAAGGAGCGAAGCAGAAGGCCATGGTCATGACGTTGATGCATGCATTGATGACTGTGATGCTGATGCAGACTTTGCGCAGTTGTGATGCTGATGCAGACTTGGCGCAGTGAGAGAGATGAGCGACACCAGTGACTGAATGAATTGACGGACAGAGCCGAACCCATCATGGATTCAATCCTCGACTTACAAAGACACACTCGTGTGGACTGACACCGTGTCATTGCCGAATGGCGGAGTGATTCGGAATGTGTCTTCTCATCCATCCATTCATGTGCGCTTTCCATCGCTCACGTGCTGCTGCAACCAAGGCGACATCGGCAGATGCAAGCAGCTGGAGGGAGAGAGAGAGAGGCACGCTACCTGTGATCTTCATCGGCACCTTCATGACTGAAGGGACATGAACGATATATATATGTGTATATATACATATAGGGACTTCCGACACACATCCACGTAGATAGAGACGACTCACACGGTGTAGCTTGTTCGGGACTTATTTAGGCGGATCCAATCAAATGAATACACTCCCTTCTCGGGGGGGGGGCTTCTGACTGCCTGGTTGACCCACCTACCAGACCTCCCTCTCGGTGACTGTGTGGTGGAGTGCGTCTGTGTATGTTTGCCGTGACGGACATGCATCGAGTGAACTGGCATTTGCCTGACCGGCTGGCACCTTTCCTCGCGGCTGTCTCACTCATTCATGGCAGCGAAGTCACTCACTCGTGGAGGCCAGACGGCCACTCCTTCACATACCCCATGTATGTGTCCCGTCCCCACGAGTGTGTACTATACATATATATGTGGGTGGGGACTGGACAACCACGGTGGCCACACACCACACACATGACGGAAGGGCAGGCGCACACCACACCACACACCTACCTCGACCGACATGCATGAGACGACACACCACAAGTCACGTGATGCAGCGCCACAACTCAGTCAGTAGGTAACATCGATCGATGCGATACGGAGGAAAGCACTGCACACACCGACACTCACACCCACACACCACGCAAAAGATCAGGCTCGGTCAGCCAGTAGGACGGGCCGCCCTCTCCACCGCTCTCTTGGCTCTGCGGGTCGTAGGGCGTCAGGATGAAGTCCTTGTGCTTCCAGTCGATGATTGGCGTCCACTCCAGCGTATGCAAGGCCCACATACCCAACACCTGAATCATATACGAATGAATCAAGTGGGGAAAAAGACGACAGACAACGAGAGAGAGAAACAAACCATTCGTGTGTAAATACCTCAGTCGCTTTGAGGTGCGTACGTACGTACGTTGATGTGGGCAAAGGTGCCGAAAGACTGGTAGCATTCGAACGCTCCATGGCGGCAATGGCCATCGATCGACACCATCAAGCCGAAAGGCACCTCGTCGCTGTCTTCCTCCACTCCTGCAAGCGCCGCCAAGGCCCGTCGGCTCAAGTAGGACACCACCGACGTCGTGTCGACGACGAAGACCACGTTGATGGGGGGCGGGGGTGAGGCCTCCCCCTCAAAAGGCCGTCGAACACACACGAGGTTGATGAACATGCGCCGGCAAGAGCCAGAGACGATGCCCTCTGGTGGGTAGCTGAGCTGCTGGCTGGAGGGCGCCTCCGACAGGTACTCGACGCCATACCGGCCCTTGGAAATGCCTTCAAGATCCGCTTCAGTCACGTCGGGCAGCGACAGCTCATGGTCGAACGGCTCAGCACCCGGGTCGGTGGGAATGAACAGAATCTCATCATCGGCCGCCTTGCCGCCGGAGTTGTGTTGTCCAGTCGTCTGCTGCTC